GCAACTTTGGCAGTTGGCACATACATGTACATGCACATGCATGTATTGGATACTAACTTAATTTGTTCATATGGGTAGAGAGAAAACTTCTTTCCAGCCTCTTCTACATCAAGTACCAAGAACCTAGTGTACTCCTTTACTTCAGCTGGAGTGAATGTTATCTAATTGTAATAATATGAAATCAAATACATGCACATGCACACTATGTGCTGGTAAATTCAATGATTGATTATACAGTAACAGTACATGTACATGAACTTACAGTGATATTCTGGTGTAGGCTGGGTGGCAGGACTCCTTTGTTTGGGTTGATGATAAACATTTCCCCTTTGCTGCCATGAGCAGGGACCCTCAGTATAAAGCTCATTGGTACCTCAGAAGTATTAGTTAATGAAACCTGTCAGACTGATGGAAACCCTACAGTATCATAAAAATAATAAATATATACATACATGTACATATGCAGATATAGAAGAAAGAAGAAAAGAGGGTGAGTACATGTAATCTATGTATATTAATTACCATATGAAACTGTATTGAAGTTAATCTCATCAGTATCAAATTGAAATGTAGGACCTATCACAGACCCACTGAGAGAGAGAGAGAAGAAGAAAAGTATCAATTAATAATGTATAATACATGCTAAGTCTTACTTTATTCTAAGTTTAAGTGTCTTGTCTGATCCCTCCACGTCCCACTCAAACTCCTCATCAAACGAACCAAGAGCAGCAGAAGATAATGATATCTTGATTTTAAAAGTACAGTAGAATTATCATCAGACTAAAATATTTATATAATACGTTTAAGTATAAGATACAATGTACAAGGAATTATCCTATAGCGCCAGTACCTGTATTGCCTGGAGTCCATCAGGTGAGAGGTGACCAGATGAAGGATTGAAAGTAAATTTAGGACCAAAAAGAGACGAGGAAGACCTCATGGAGTAACTAGCATCAATGTCACCTTGGTTCTCCAATATCACCTATTATTAACATGTTACATGTGTTCATGAATAACTAAAAAATAATACATACTGTATATGTATTATTATTATTATTATTATAAAGTTTTTCATTTAAAAAACAGTAACTGCTTGTACCATACTTGCCCCAATTATTGCACTTATACATGTCTTCCACAATAAAAACTTTCTATCGAGTGCTTCTCCTAGACAAGATAATTAATTAATTTTTTGAGAGGTGCATCGTAATTAGAAAGCTTTACAGGTGTATTGCGTACTTAGCTAAGCACCTCTCTAAACAAGCACCTCCTGGAGCATTTCATAATTGTTCCCATCTAAACAATACACCACCTGAAACATGCATTAATTGGGGCATGAGTATGGCAGTCTAAGAGTCTGTATGAGCATATGCAAGTACATGTACATGTAGTCATGTACATACATTACATGTAAATCACATTTATACCTCATATGCGTGTGCAGAATTGACAAAAATGTTTTGAATGTCAAGCGAATCAAACGAGAATCTAAGCTTAGGTCCTAGTCCCTCTCCCTTTAACCTAAGGGGGAGCCTGCTCTCTCTACCAGTCACATCACAATATGCTACACTGGAATAACTGGATGAGAGAAGAAGGATCATAAGTAAAGTATGTATCATACACATGACATGCACATGCACATGTACATGCATGTGTACATGTACATACTCTAAGTACTAGTTAATTCACTTTTTAGCCTTCTCTGGTTGAAAGGAAATAGTAACATCAATTTGTGAGTGAGGCCACAGTTCACCTTCCTATAAACAAAATTATGAGCATGTGGGCATGTACATGTACATGTATATTCACTTACCACCGGATCAATAGAGAAAACATCATCATAAAATAGAAACCTTTCATTATTAATAAGCTACAGTGTACAATAGATAAAGTGAATAAATATTATTGCTGATTTCACACACGCAAACAATACATGTACATTTATATGGACTCACTGCTTTCCTTTTATCAAAATTATGATCAAGTATAGAGACCCTGTCCCTCAGGTAAGGATTGTGAACACAACGATCAAGCAATGACCTCTTTGAACTGGCCTCTTCATCACTTAACTCTTGCTTTATACTAGAGAGAGAGGGGGGGAGATACAAGAGAAGAGAGAGGAAGGGAGAAAAGAAAGGAGGAAGGGAGAGAGAAAGGGAGAGAGAGGGGGAGAAAGGATAAGTGAATGTTATGACGTTACAACTACATGTTTCTGTGTAGTTCTTCTTCATCTGCTGTTGATTTGAGTTTCCATTCAAAGTGAGAAACAATATCAGTGCGATTGTGTAACGTTAATGTTCTGTATAAAACAAAAAGTATAATACATGTATACTAGAGACATTCCCCCTCTCTCCCAGCTCTCACCTCTGTGAACACAGTCCAATGTAAGTGCTCTCCATTAGTATTGAGCTCTTATCCAGTCTCACATTAACATCAATAGCAGTCCCATACAATTGTACATACACCACCTCACCTATTAGTAATACAATGAACATAATGTATATGTACATGTACATAGCACATCCATGTACACGTATACACAGAATGGAGTCATACCAGTATCATAGTGAATGGTTAGT